GTATTGTCAAGTTAGGGTTGGCGTAAAACAAGTGAAGTTTGCGATCCCCTAATAAAAGAGAAGGACAGATTGTCTCAGGAGTAGCGGAGGAGGAGGGGAAGACGTCTGTGCTTTATACTACCTTGTGTCATAAGCAGTGTAGGGTGAAAAAAAAATAAGCAAATAACAATACCTGACTATATTTCAAGTCTGAACTCACCGGAATAAGTAACGTTTCACTGCCGCGCAGTGTACGATAAGTGACACAATTCTGAACTGCTAGCTGATTTGCTGGTTCGCTTCAATAAGATATTTTTGTCGACTGTGCAAAATGATGGCCTCAGAACCCTTTCAGCTATTTCTGGGTACAGAATGATCATATCCTGCTGAGAACTATTCTACTTGCGCAGTCACAAAGCTGCGCTTGCACTTTTTTACCTAGCAAAGTGAGAAGTGAAGTTGCGACCTAAACTTTTGATGTTATTTTCTGTGAGGTACTTCTGGGCATGACAAGGCCTAATCTACATGAACTAATGTGGGTTGCTGGAACTGTCATTGTGAAGACAAGCTCCTTATATAAGCCACCTCTCTTGGGTTTGCTATCACTTCCAAAAAACTGCACGTTTTATCTCTGATTTTTTTAGCGTTTCACTTCCCGTGGATACAGTTTGCTTATTTATTCCATCTCCGTCTGCATTTCGGCGTCTATTATGCTGACCTGCTCTATACAACACCCTTTCTTTAATAGCTGGGATAATATGCCGAGAAAATGAAAATAACTTGTCTTGCCGAACGCTCTTCTATTTTCTCGAGATTCAGAACTATTCTTCACATCTTCATTCCACGCAGTAATATAGCAGTAGCATCGTTTGAGTAATGCCTTGTCTGTGCAACAAATGTTAACATCTTGATAAACAGTTTTCTTTAATTAAAAATTTGCGCCTTTCTATGCGCCACATAGCGACAGCTCGGTTCGTACACATATCGCTTCCGCTTTTTGAAATTACCACTGATTTACTAAAACCCTAAAGTAATTAGCTAATTTTAATTTATTTTAGATTGATTTGATCTCAGCTATTTTAACAGCTACATGAACCCA